ATTTTATTAAGGTATCCCTGACATACACTCTTATGAAGGTCTCACACCAAAAACAATGTGGTCACCACACTCACCCCCGCCAGCATGCCCCCCCACACCCCGCTGCAGCCACTGCCCATCAGCACAGCAAGATGCCACAGAGTCACTGTTTGCCCTCTCTGTGCCACACTGTCTTCCTCCTGACCCCCCCACACCATGTGTGCCAGTCATAATGCCCCTGAATCCCCTTCTCCCTCCCTCCCCACCCAACCACCCCCTCCCCTCCCCTTTGGTACCCACTAGTCCCTTCTTGGAGTCTGTGATTCTGCTGCTGTTTTGTTTCTTCTGTTTTGCTTCGTTATTATACTCCACAAATGAGGGGAAATTTGGTGCTTGTCTTTCTCCACCTGGGTTATGTCACTGAGCATAATACCCTCTAGCTCCATCCATGTTGTTGCAAATGGTATGATTTGTTTCTTTCTCATGGCTGAGTAGTATTCCACTGTGTATATGTACCACATCATCTTTATCCATTCATCTACTGATAGACACTTAGGTTGCTTCCATATCTTAACTATTGTAAACACTGCTGCAATAAACAGGGGTGCATATGTCTTTTTGAATCTGAGAAATTATATTCTTTGGGTAAATTCCTAGGAGTGGAATTCCCAGGTCAAATGGTATTTCTATTTTGAGCATTCTGAGGAACCTCCATACTGCTTTCCACAATGGTTGAACTAGTTTACATTCCCACCAGCAGTGTAGGAGGGTTCCCCTTTCTCCACATCCTCACCAGCATTTGTTGTTCTTAGTCTTTCAATACTGGCCGTCCTAACTGGTGTGAAGTGATGGTTTTTATTTGCATTTCCCTGATAATTAGTGATGTGGAGCATCTTTTCATGTGCCTGTTGGACATCTGAATTTCTTCTTTGGAGAATTGTCAGTTCATATCTTCTGCCCATTTTTTAATCGGGTTATTTGCTTTTTGGGTGTTGAGGCATGTGAGTTCTTTATGTATTTTGGATGTTAACCCCTTGTTGGTATGTCATTTACAAATATATTCTCCCATACTGTAGGATGCCTTTTTGTTCTGCTGATGGTGTCCTTTGCTGTACAGAAGCTTTTAAGTTTGATATAGTCACATGTGTTCATTTTTGCTTTTGTTTCCCTTGCCCGAGGAGATGTGTTCAGGAAAAAGTTGCTCATGTTTATATTCAGGAGATTTTTGCCTATGTTTTCTTCTAAGAGTTTTATGGTTTCATGACTTACCTCCAGGTGTTTGATCCATTTCGAGTTTACTTTTGTGTATGGGGTTAGACAGTGACCCAGTTTCATTCTCTTACATGTAACTGTCCAGTTTTGCCAGCACCAGCTGTTGAAGAGGCTGTCATTTCCCCACTGTATGTCCCTGGCTCCTTTATCATATATTAATTGACCATATATGGTTGGGTTTATATCAGGGCTCTCTAGTCTGTTCCATTGGTCTATGGGTCTGTTCTTGTGCCAGTACCAAACTGGCTTGATTACTGTGGCTTTGTAGTAGAGCTTGAAGTCAGGGACTGTAATCCCCCCACTTTATTCTTCTCAGGATTGCTTTGCCTTTTGGGGTCTTTTGTGGTTCCGTATGAATTTTAGAACTATTTGCTCCAGTTCATTGAAGAATGCTGCTGGTAATTTGATAGGGATTGCATTGAATCTGTATATTGCTTTGGGCAGAATGGCCATTTTGACTATATTAATTCTTCCTAGCCAGGAGCATGGGATGAGTTTCCATTTGTTAGTGTCCCCTTTAATTTCTCTTAAGAGTGACTTGTAGTTTTCAGGGTATAGGTCTTTCACTTCCTTGGTTAGGTTTATTCCCAGGTATTTTATTCTTCTTGATGCAATTGTGAATGGAATTGCATCCAAAAGAGACTGATTTCTCTTTCTGCTAGTTCATCATCAGTGTATAGGAAAGCAACAGATTTCTGTATATTCATTTTGTATCCTGCAACTTTGCTGAATTCAGATAATTTTGTTCTAGTAGTTTTGGAGTGGAGTCTTTAGGGTTTTTTATGTACAATATCATGTCATCTGCAAATAGTGACAGTTTGACTTCTTCTTTATCAATCTGGATGCCTTGTATTTCTTTGTTTTGTCTAATTGTCGTGGCTAGGACCTCCAGTACTGTGATGAATAACAGTGGGGAGAGTGGGCATCCCTGTCTGGTTCCTGATCTTAAGTGAAAAGCTTTCAGCTTCTTGCTGTTCAGTATGATGTTGGCCTTGGGTTTGTCATATGTGGCCTTTATTATGTTGAGGTACTTGCCCTCTATACCCATTTTGTTAGGTGTTTCATCATGAATGGATGTTGAATTTTGTTGAATGCTTTTTCAGCATCTATGGAGATGATTATGTGGTTTTTGTCCTTTCTGTTGATGTGGTGGATGATGAGGACAGATTTTCTAATATTGTACCATCTTTGCATCCCTGGAATAAATCCTACTTGATCATGCCATCATGATCTTTTTGATGTATTTTTTAATTCAGTTTGCTCATATTTTGTTGAGTATTTTTGCGTCTATGCTCATCAGGGAAATTGGCCTATAGTTTTTTTGTTCCATACTGTATCTGTCTGGTGTTGGTATCGGGGTGATTGCTGACCTTATAAAATGAGTGAGGATTATTTCTTTTCTGTTTTCTGAAAGATATTATGTACAGTTGGTATTATTTCTTCTTTTAATGTCTGATTAAGTTCACCTGGAGTTCTCTTTTTCAGGAGTTTTTTAACTGTCAATTCAGTTCCTTTCACAGAGTAGGCTATTCCGTGATCTGCTGTTCATCCTGGGAGTTTGGGCACTTGGAGGCTTCCAAGGAATGGGCACAGTCTGTGCAGGCTCTCGACGCGTGTGCACGCGGCTCTTTGTGGTGTTCCCTGATCACACTTTTATGTAGTCTGTGGGATCTGTAGTGATGTGCCTTCTTTTATTCCTGATATTGGTGATTTTTGCCTTCTCTCTCTCTCATCCTTTATTTTTTCTCTGTCCAGTCTTCCCAAAGAACCAGCTTCGGGTTTTATTTTCTCTGTTGTTTTTTGTTTTCAATTTAATTGTTTCTGCTTTTATGGTCATTATTTCCTTTGTACTGCTCGCTTTGGGTTTAATTTGCTCTTCTTTCCCTAGTGTGTAAGGTGAAGCTTTGATTGTGTGCTTGAGGCCTTTCCTCTTTTCTAACACACACATTTAACGGTATAGATTGTCCCCAACCTCGCTTTGGCTGCGTCCCGTAGAACTTGGTTTGTGTTGTTTCACTTCTGTCCCACACAGAATGTTTCTGTAGCCCTCCGAGGCGTCCTCTTTGGCCCGTGACATGCTTAGGAGTGCCCTTCACTTCTGAGTAGTTGGTGTGTCCAGCTCTCTTTCTATTACTGATTTTTGGTTAACTGGTCAGAGAACATACTTTATGTAAGTTCAGTATTTTGTTTTGTTTTAAAATGTATTTCATCATCATTATCATTTTTGAAGATCTAAGCGGCTTTATTCAGTGATGTGTGAATTGGGCAGCACCCCTTCTAGTGAATGGGCAGGTGCTCTGGGCTTCAGTTCTGTGTCTGTGGCGCAGGATGTGGTCTGTCCTGGCGAGTATCGACTCCTTTAGGCTGTCTCCTTCTCTGTCTTCTCCCCTTGCCGGTTGTTTGCTCAGTAAGATGGAGCCCTACGGAATCAGAGTGGCTCCAGTGGGTGGAGCCGGCAGGGCTGGGAGCCAGGAGGGGTGCTCGGTTCCCCCGTGGCGCTGTGTCTGTCGGGACTGTTTAGGGCCTGTCTGTCTGCCTCCTGCCTGGAGCTGCCCTGCGTCCGCTGCTCCTCCAGGCTCAGTGGGGTGCAGGCAGGGCCGCTACTGCCCCCGCTCTGTGCCACCTGTGACAGGCTGACTTTAGGCCCAGTTTGAGTGATAACACAGACAAGTTGGTGCCATTGAAAGACAAGTCTGATATTACTCACCGTACCCTAGAAAGAAGAGGCCTGCCAGGGTGCTGAGGACCACCAGGAGGCCGAATGGGAGGGCAGGGCCCAGGCCAGAGCCCTCATCGGGTTCCTGTGGGAAAAGCAGGGCAGGGCAGACAAGCAGGTCAGCACTGGCCGTTTGAAGAACCCAGCGGCTCCCCAGCCTGCTGGCTGCCCAGGGTGTTCAGGACAGATGACAGGGGCCTGGTGTGGGGCATCTGATAAAGAGGTGGCTGGAAGTATGGGCTGCGGTCCAGGGAAGATGAGATGTAAATAATCTCGGTCGTTTGGCTTTATGACTAATGGGTGCCAAGTAGACAAATGTAAAATCTAAGACGCACAGGACAGTGGGGTCCCTGGTCCACGCGTGGCTGGCAGCGCTGAGGGCACCTGCGGATGTTGCAGCCAGGTCTTGGGGTGCAGGATGCATGTCCAGGCAGTGGGATATTTGCCTGGCCTGCCGAGCCTGGCTGCTGCGGGCAGGGCGAGCACGTGGGTCACCACGTGGAGGCTGTCCTGCTGTGTGGGGCTCAGGTTGCAGTGTAGGGCCGGGGAGCAGCGTGCTGGGCACAGAAATCCTGGGTGCCCCTGTGGGCCTGGCCTTGGCACCTGTGTGGGGGTCCCTTGCCCTTGGGCCCTGTTGTTGTCCTCACAAACAGGCGGACTGGCGTCGGGCTGGAGAGGAAGCCCGGGCAGGTCTCTGGTGGACGCGCATCCCGCCACGTGGCTGCTGCCACCCTCCAGGCCTCTCTGCTCAGGGCTGCGGGGCCCCAACTGGGGATGACGCGCGGGGTCTGCAGGGGGAGGCGGTGCAGAGCTGCCCTGTCCAGGGCTTCCCTGGCCTGCTGCCTTTCTGCCTGCTTGTCCCCAGACCCGCGCTGAGCCACCACCAGGAGCCTGAGACCCGTCCTCAGGGACCTGGGAGGCGGGGGGCCTGCCTCATGCATGGAGCTGGACAGTGGCTCCGGCCTTCCTGCGATACCTGAGGTGGGGCGCTGGGGGTTGAGGGTCCTGCTGAGCCGCCCTGTGCCCTTTGCAGGTTGTGCAGCCTGACCTTGAAGAAGCTGGTGGTCTTCAGGGAGCTGGAGAAGGAGCTTATCTCAGTGGTGATCGCTGTCAAGATGCAGGTAAGGGCCCTCTTCCACCACATCCTGGGCCCTGCAGAGGCCCATTCCGCCTGGGAGATGGGTGTGGACCCACCCACCCCGACAGCCCAACCTCAGCAGTACAGGCCGCCCAGCCGCTTCTGGCCCAGGGCCCAGGGCGCGGGATGCTGTCCCCCAGGGCCCCCAGACCGCGTGCCCTTCAGGGCAGGCCTGCTTCCCTTCACTCCCAGGCTTCTGGAGCCCATGTCCATGGCTCCACGGGGATGCCTGGGACCAGCCTGTGGCTCCTGATGCGTGTGGCCACCTTCATTTTTCCTGTCAGTTGTTACCACCCAAAACCTGATAGGCCTTTAAATAAAGATCTGAAGAAATGCCTTTCCTCCATGAAGCTGCTGCCGTGAGTTTTCAGCCCCAAAGCTACACAAGGGCGGAGGGCAGGAGGCTCGGCCCTGGCCGTCCCTTCCCACCCCCTGGGGAGGCGGGACTGGTGGGAGGGGCCGCTGCACACCACAGCCGAGCAGCTGGGGCACCCGGGCCTCTGCACTGATGCCACGTGGTGCCTAGGGCCGCAGCCGGGCTGCCATCAGCTGGCTTGGCAGCAGGATGTCCAAGCAGAGCCCCACCCAGGGCCACACCAGCCAGCGACGCTGCGGTGCCCAGGGCTCCTGTCGGCTCACACGTCTGTCCTGGACCCACACCCCACTCCTGCTCTCTCTCATTTCTCTGCACCCTACATCTTGGTCCGACGGATCCCCTCCCTGGGTAGCCTCTGGCCCTGTGGGTTTCCCCCTCAGTGCCCCACACATGGGGTCACACAGTGTTTGTCCAGCTTCCAGCACTTGGCATAAAGTCACCAAGCTTCATCCATGTTGGCATGGGTGTTTTAAAACGATACTGTGATGAACATCTTCAATCTGTTTGGAATTTATTTTGGTGTAAGGTTTAAGGTCAGAACCTGTGAGTTTTATACAAGTGATTCCTTGTCTGCTTATCACAGCCGTGTCGTGGGTAGATGGCCTTTCCTCGTGGCCCAAAGGCTCATTGTCTCTGTTGATGTGCTCCTGTGTGTGTTTCGGATCCGTTTCCCGGTCTTCGTGCTGGTGCCCCCGTGTTTTAATCACTGTGCCCTGTGCCAGTGTGTGCCCTCGGGGCTGGCAGCACCCCTCCTGCGCCGTTCCCAGAAGCGCGTGGCCCCCGCACACCTCTGCTCTCCCGGGCATGTCCCGCCGCCCTGCGCCCTCTGTGTTTCTTCATGGTCGCAGAAGCTGAGGGCGTTCTCAGGACAGATTTCTAGAGGACTCACTGAGTCGAAGATGCGACATTTTTAAGGCCCTTGGTCAATCTCCCACGGTGCCTTGGGGAGCACGGGAGCGCGCGCCTCCCGCCTGGCCCTGTGCCCTTCGTGCAGAGGAAGAGGAGGGGCTGGCGGTGAGTCTGGGGCTTCCCTGCCCAGCGCTGTGCGTCAGGACTGTCGCTGTGTCTCAGGGCTCCAAGCGGATCCTGCGGTCCCATGAGATTGTGCTGCCCCCCAGCGGACAAGTGGAGACCGACCTGGCTCTGACCTTCTCGCTGCAGGTGGGCCTGGCGCTGGGCGGGGGGATAGCGCCCCGGTGGGCAGCGCGGCCCGCACTCCTCCCCGGATGTTCCCCCTGGGGTGGTGGGAGGCTGCTTTGCTGTATTACATGGAGTTTTCTGTCCCGGCCCCATGGAGAATGCAGGGGGGCCTGAACGCGAACCATCCTGGTGTCTAGAGAAGATGCCGAGAACTCTGGGAACTCAGCACTGTCGGGCCCCTTTAAGTATTCGGGGTGGGTGCAGCTTAGCCTGGGACGCGCCCCAGTGTGAACGATGAACAGAGGACTCCCTGTTGGCCGCGCAGAGCCCTGCTGTGTTCGAGGCCCCGGGCAGCCCCCCGCTGAGCCCCCTTAGCAGAGCCACTTTAAGGCCGGCGTTCCCCAAGTTCAGCAGGCACACTTTCTTCTTGTTCAGCACACTCAGTCTGAAGATTGATCCCGCACTTACCATCAGGCCATTTTAGACCCATTAAAAGTCCTCTTTGCTCACAGTAAGTGTGTGAGATGTGTGGTTCACCCTTTCAGTACAAGGTTCTGTGGGTTTGGACAACTGCACAGGTGTGTAGCCACCATTGTTGGGGTAACGACAGGTTCCTCGGACTTTGATTCGTGGGACTTTGAGTAACACTTCTGAGAGGGTGTTACACACACGAGCTTGCGGGCGACCTGGGCCAGTGCAGCCTGGCCCGCAGGCACCAGGGCGGCAGAGCGCCGTGCCCCACTGTGTGGGGGGACTGCTGGGTGCCCCGGCCCGCTGACCGTTCTCAGCAGACACGCTGCAGAGCTGGTTGGGACGGACGCAGATGTGTGCGGCCCCTCCCAAAGGCCTCGGCAAGCAGCCGAGCTGCAGCTTCTAGCTTAGACCGTGGCGCATGGCCACCCGTCGAGGAGCCAGCCTCCGGGCTCACGGGGGGCCCATGAACGCAGGTACTCCAGACCCCACAGGGCCAGGTTGCTGGCATGGATGGCAGCCGTGGCCCCTTCTCCCGCAGTACCCTCACTTCCTGAAGAGAGACGGCAACAAGCTGCAGATCATGCTGCAGCGGAGAAAGCGCTACAAACACCGGACGATCCTGGGCTACAAGACGCTGGCGGCGGGTGCCATCAACATGGCCGAGGTGAGGGGGCTGCGGGCCGGGCCGCACCAGAGGCCCTCACTCAGCTGGACGGACGCCTGGCTGGGTGGATTTCTGCCCAGGGTGGGCCTGTCTGTGCCCTCCTGGGAGTGATGTCTGGGTAAGCGCCCCTCTGCCCAGCTGCGACACCCTCATTCTGCTCAGCAGGCACTAACCATGACCAGCTGCTCGTGGGGGGTTGGCGTGGCACAAATCTGGCTGCAGAAGGCCCCTGGCATGGGACTGAGGGGAAGCACACAGGGACCAGCCCCCAAGACCACACTGTCCTGTGGCACCTGGTGTCCCCAGGGTGGTTGGTGGGGGCTCAGGGGTTGGTCCCCAGGCCGAGGAGCTCAGCTCTCACTGGGCCTTTGGGAGCTGCAGGATGGATCTGGGGGAAGGGTCAGCTGAGGGTCTCATGTGTTGGGGCCTTCAGGGTCTTAGGGCCACACTCAGGGCTGGCGAGGTGACCGCTGGGTGTCAGTGACACTTGGGAGTGTTGGGCTGTGTTGGTACCAGGGCAGCGGCTGCAAGCGGCCCTGCCTGGGGAGTTGTCTGGCCTGGGACCCCCGTGCAGGGCTCAGAGGGCAGTGCTGCCCACCCACGCCCTGTACCAGTGCCTACTTGGGCCTGTAGGCCTGTGCCCCTCAGGAGCTTACTGCTTCCTGCTGGTCCATCCAGGACAAGCTCAAGCTTGCTGCAGGTTCTGGCCCCCGCCCAGCTGCCTGCCCCTAGGGAGATGGAGGGTGTGCAGAGTGCCAGGGGGCCAGGGTCTGTTGGGCCTCGCCTCACTCCCAGCCCTTAGGCACAGATGCAGCACTGGCAGGTGGCCTGGACTCCTTGGGGCCCTGGCCTTGGGTTGCTGGTCAGCCTGGCTGTGCCCTCTCTGGCCATTCTGGGCCTCCTGCCTCTAGGCTGATTATGGCTCGGGAGGCTGGGAGGTGCCATCCTGCCCTCCTGCTGTGCAGAGGGCTCTGATTAGAGCTACAATGCCAGGCCGCAGCTAGATTTGCCGCAAGGGACTCAGACATTGGCAGACCCCTCAGAGCGGCGTGGTCTTCTCTCAGAGGCTGGCTGCTCTCCATCCTCCCTCGGAGGGGGTAAGAGTGGGCTTTTCCTTAGGGGAGAAGCGGCCCCACTGCCCACATCCAGGCCCCACTGCCCAGGCTGACCACTGACGTACGCCTGCACACTGAGCCTTCGCCCGGGCTCCTTCCAGGACAGCCTGTCCTGTGGCCCAAGTGGTGTGGGTCTGCCTCCTCGCTGACCAGGATGCCTCTCCTGGCATTGGTGTGCACAGCTCTGTGCTGTGGGGACTCTGGCAGTTAGACGGCCCTTAGCAAGGTGACACGCGCGTGCTCGGAGCACTGCCTGCATGGCAGGCCAAGCGGGAGGCAGCTGCGGCCCCGGGCAGTGCGTGTGAGCGTGTGCACCCCCGTCCGTCAGTGCCCTTGCCATGTGCATTGCGCGTGCAGGTATAGGGAGCCAGTCTGAATGTCGGCATCAAGTCAGCAGCCTTCCTGATGTGGGGCCTGCAATGATGACAGGCCACTTTCTCAAAACTCTCATTTTCTTCCTGACGGAAGAATTGGCTTTCCACGTCAGGCCCCAAAAGTTCAAAAGAAATCTGGCCCATAAAAGCCCAATATCTGGATTTGATCAGATGACCCCAAAGGCAGCTTCCAAAAAGGAAGGGCTCTGGTCTGCGTGTGTGTCCCGAGCCGCCTTCACAAGACCGGGGTCAAGGCGACAGCTTTACATCAGGGGCAGCTTAGGCGCGGGCCTGGCTGCCCGGAGTGGCGGGGCTCTGCCCCCTGCCTGGTTCGCTGGAAATGTCTCCGGACCAGAGTGGCCCCAGGGGTTCACTGTCCTGGTGGGCTGGTCTGGCAGGTGTCAGCCCCCTGTGCTGGTGGCCAGTCCTTCTTGGTCCCCCACAGACATGGGTGCCTGAAATTGGATTCAGTTGGTGGCCGAATCCGGGAGTCCCGGGCTGGCCAGCACCCACAGCTTCATACACTGCTCTTGGAAGGGGGTCTTCAGACCCTCTTCTCTAACACCCTTCAGTCCCTTGTAGCTTAGCCTGATGCTGACCTCCCCGGCTCAGCCCACATCCTCCTCATGGGGCCTGTCCACCCGGCGCCCATGTCCTTGTGTGGCCCACCCACCCTGCTCCTGTGTCCTTGTCCTCCGGGCCTGTGGCCCTGTCCCTGCTCCCGTGGTCACCTGCAGAGGTGCCCACCACTGGGAGGAAAGCCCTTGAAGTCCAGCACGTGCACTGATGCTGGGGCTGCCAGGCCCCCTGCTCCATGGTCCCTTTTGTGAGAGTGCCCTGCCCCCAGGTGATGCAGCACCCCTCCGAGGGGGGCCAGGTGCTGAGCCTCTGCAGCAGCATCAAGGAGGCCTCAGTCAGGGTGGCCGAGATCTGGATCTTCTCCCTGTCCAGCCAACCCGCCGACCATGAGGACAGTGCCATGCAGACCGGCCCCGCGGCCAAGTCCACAGGTGAGTGCGGCCCACGGTCGTGTCGTCTGCTGCCTCTCCGTAAGGGGGTGCCACCTCCCGGCCACCACCCTGCCAGGTTTGGGAAGCCGGGAGGGGGCACAGGGTCTGCCCTCTGGGCTCCAAGTGTGAGCAGCTCTGTGCATGCACACATGGGAGCTGGGCAGCAGGGCCCGTCATTGCAGGAGGTCTCAGGGTCCGTCACGGTGCCTTCCCAGGGTCTGGGTACAGGTCCTGGTATGGGCTGTTGCCCTCATCATAGTTGGGGTCATTAGCCTTCCTGAGTTGCTGGAAGGCAAGTGGGGGCCCCAGCCAAACATGAGATCCAGGCTGAAATGCATGATGGGCAGGAAGGGCCACTGGGGTCTGAGACTGGTTCGTGGGGGCCGTTGTGGCCGTGGGATGGGCACGTGGTAGCAGGGAAGCACGGCGACCCCTCCCCGCCCCCCACCCCCCGGCTCCTAGACTGCCCACCTGCTGGGTTGGCTCCTTCCTGCTGCCTGCAGGCATCTCCTTGGGCTCCCCTTGGGTCCAGGCCCACCCTCCCAGTGCCGCCTCCCTGCCAGGATGCGGGCGGGACCTCAGGCGCTGTCCCTCTATGTGCCTGTCCCGCAGATAACTACTCCGAGGAGGAGTACGAGAGCTTCTCCTCCGAGCAGGAGGCCAGCGACGATGCTGTGCAGGGGCAGGTAACCTGGGCCTGGGGACAGCTGTGCGGTCCCCAGGGCTTCAGGGGAGGCGCTGGCTGCGGGGCTCCTGATGCACTGCGCCCACCTCCTGCCAAGACCCCCAGCAACTGTGTAGCCTCCAGTGGCAGCCAAGGACCCTCCCAGGCCCCCACCACACAGGCGGCATGGGGTGGGGAGGCTGGGAGCCTGGCTCCCGAGCACTGTTTCCTTTCTCCCATCTGCACCCTGTGGGTTAGCACACACCCTGGGGGCACCAGGCGGTAGTTCCCTCTGTCAGCTCAGGTGGGACTGGCCTCCCTTGCCGAGCCTCCGGAGGCAGGTGCATGACGGGCAGTGGGAGCCCCTGGGGCACCTTAGGCACTGCGGCTGTCTCTGCAGGATTTGGACGAGGATGACTTTGACGTGGGGAAGCCCCAGAAGCAGCGGCGATCGATAGTAAGAACGGCGTCCATGACCAGGGTCGGTGGAAACTGGTTTTACTAACACTGGGGAAGGTTGGGGGAAGGGGCCCGGGTGGGCATGAACCTGGGGGCGTGGCCCACATGGAGCCCTCTCAAGAGGAGCAGGTTCAGGAAGGGAGGTGGCCTGTCCTGGGATCATGGCAGGAGCTCATACCATCCCCCCAGACTGTGCTGGCTTCCCTGAGGCCCGATCCTTTCCTGCAGGTATGGCATGAGGGTGGGCAGCCCCCACACAGCCTTGCCCTGGGAGGGCAGGAGGGGGCTGCAAGGTACCCAGCCATGATCAGTTAAAGCTGCACAGGCAGGCGCAAGCCAGGCAGGGCGTCCCCCTGCTGGCCACAGGCCCCCCTCCTGCCCAGGCCACTGCACGAGCAGAGCCGGGGGGCTGTCTCCTCCCCACTTGTGCCCAGACATGCCCAGTGTGAGGCTAGTCCTGTTCCTCTTCAGTATCTGGCACCCCCTAGCACAGAGGTCGCAAGGGCTGGCAGGGCTGGCAGACTTTTCCTGCAGGAGAGCTGCAGGCGGAGGCCTTAGCCCATCGCAGGCTGTTCACTGCTGGTGCCCAGAGCTCCCACGCGGACTCAATGCCCTGCTGCTGCTCCAGGGCAGGCCAGCATGGAGGGCTGCCTGGGAAGCCACGGGACACAAACCCAGCCTCCAAAGCCATTGCTACCTCTGGCAGGCGGGTGTGCCTCTGTCCTCTGCTATGGTGCTGTGGCCCATACCGCTGTGGCGGCCCCTGATGGAGTCTCACTTCTGGAGCCCGAGTGGCCAGCTCTGTGGGAGGGAGCAGGGACCTCCTTTTTTAGGCCCCTCCCGGGTGCTGGGAGCATCCACCTCACTCAGTGGCCAGAGTGGAGCCTCTGTGGCTCGGGCGGCCGTGGGAGCGGACAGAGCTCAGGTCCTCTGCTGAGCCCTGCCCTCCCGAGTTGTATGGGTAAGGTGGTGCCCCGGGAAGGGAGGGGCCGTGAGCCAGGGAAGGGCCGCGAGCCAGGGAAGGGCCGCAGTCTCGTCGGCATGGAGGCTTCTGGGAGGACTGTAGAGGTGGTGCTCGCCCTCCCTCTAGTCCCCGTCTCCGGGCTTGGGACTGGGCCCCTCAGGGCTGTTCCTTGGCTGACCACCTGCTCGTGAAGATACTGGCCTCCTGCAAGCCTGGCATGTGCCCTGAACGCCACAGTGTGCTTGCGTTCCACCCCCCTGCAGGGCCATGCGTGGGGGCAGCTGCTGGCTTGCTGTGTCCCCAGGGGAAGAGGCCCCGGGCTCTCATTCTGTCCTGCTTGTCTTACAGCAACAAAACTTTAAGCAGAAAGTTGTGGCACTGCTGCGGAGGTTCAAAGTGTCAGATGAGGTGAGGGATGCCGCCTGCCCCTGTCCCCACCCTGCACCCCGTCTGCCACCCCAGGCAGAGCGCCATGGAGAGAAGGGCTCTGGCAGCCTTCTGGGCTGTCCGGGCTCTGCTGCTGACTATCCCCGTGGTCCTCTGGACGTTACTGGCCTTGTGCCCATCATCAGGCACAGCTCAAGGGTCGCACAGAGGCCCCGAGAGCCTGCCTGCGCTGGGATGACAGGCTTGAGGCCTGGCCCAGGAGGAAGGCTGGATGGCATGATCGGAGTGTGACCACACGTTGTTGTGTTTTGTGTTTTTGTATAAACTTTTTTTCAGCAGTTATAGGTTCACAGAAAAGTTGAGCAGAAAGTACAGGGTTTCAATATACCACCTGTCGCCACACATATGGCCTCCCCGTTTCTTCTAGTGTAAACATTTTCTATGATTACTGTGTATAACTTTACAACCAGAAGAAAAATGCTTGGTTTTATTTTTAATGTGGTCAGAGGAAAGTCAGTCCGCAGGCTCTGGACCCACCGGAGGAGGTGGCGTGTAGGGTGTCTGACTGTCGCCACACATGGTCACAACAGCACCGAAAGTGAGCTGAGCTGCCCGGAAGTGGTGGCTACATGTGCACATACCCAAGGCCACCCCCTCTGAAACATGGGTACTGAGACAGTCACGTCCTGGCCATGCCCTTCCCAGGTGGGTCTTCAGATCAACCAGCTCTCCTAAAACTTACATGGAAATGGAAGGGACCCAGAATAAACAATGTTGAGAAAAGAACAAAAGAGACTGACAGTTCCTAATTTCAAAGCTTACTACAAAGCTACTCTTATCAAAACTGAATAGATCTATGGAATGGAGTTAAGAGTCAAGGAGTAAGTCCTCCTGCCTTTGGTCATCGGCTTTTGACAAAGACTCTGAGACTATTCAGTGGGGAAAAAAGTCTTTTCAAGCCAATGGCACAGCAACAACTGGCTTTCCACATGCAGAAGAGGAGAGTGGGACCCCTGCCTCACACCGTATCAGCGATGAACTCAAAGTGGGTCAAAGACCCAAATGTAAGAGCCAAAGCTGTGAATCGGGGAAACATGGGCTGCAGCCTTTGTGTCCTGGGGCACCCTGGCGTCTTAGGTGTGACCCAAAGGCACAAGCAATCAGAGGAAAAACGAGTATGTTGGGCTTCATCAGAAACATCAAGAAAATGAAACAACAGCCTGTGGATTGGGGGACATCTGCAAATTACGCATCTGGTAAAGGGCTTGTGTCCAAACATACAGAGAATACTTAGCAGAAAAACAAAGAGCCCCTCAAACACTTAGTTGCCCAGTTCAGTAACTGGGCAAAGGATTTGATTCGACAATTTGTTCAGATGATACACAAATAGCCAGTAAGCCCACAGCAAGGTGCATCGTGTCATCTGGGAGTGCACGTCGGAACCCCCTGAGGCGCCCCGCAGTGTCCACCGTGTGGCCGTGATGCAAAAGGGAATGTGGAGGATGTGGGCCACCTGGACCCTCATCCAGCACGTGGGAACCTACAAGGGTGAGGCTGCTTTGGAGAACGGCCCAGCAGCTCCTCAAGAGAGCCACGTGTGCTTGCCCAGCACCTGGCAGTCCCGTTCCTGGGTATCTGCCTGTGACAGGAGCAGACACATCCCCACAGGAGTGGCAGGCACAGAAGCGTCGCTTGCGACAGTGGTCACGGGAGATGTCCCGTACCCACCCGCTGCTGCCTGCTTAGATGCGGTGGTCACCACTCGGTGCAGAGGAGGCCCTGTAGGTAGACGGAACGGGTGGCTCCGAAGTGCGAGGCTGCGGCCTTTGTGGCACATTTACACGGCATCTGGAAGAGAACGAGAGCACGGGGCAAAAGGGACCCCACTGGTTGCCTGGGGAGGAGGGGGCTGTGGGAGGAGGGGGCCCACTGGAGGGAGCACGTCATACCCGATCGTGGTGGTGGCCACACTTCAGCACACTCGTCCCAGCGCTGCTTGCGCTCCAAACGGCGTGTCCATGTGTTGAAGCCTCCGTGAGCTGGGCCACAGGAAGCACGTGTGCCATGCCCAGTGCCCATGACTGGGGGTTCCCGGGGCTACCCCTAGGCCTGGACACGCTGGTTGGTGGGGCCTGCTAGAGGAGGCGCTTCATGGCTCTGCCCCCTCACGGCCTTCTTGCAGGTGCCCCTTCCCCAGCTGGTGCTGGGCTGCCCAGGGGCGCAGCCTTGCTGGCCCTCACACGTATGACCTACTGTAGGTTCTGGACTCTGAGCAGGACCCTGCAGAGCATGTCCCCGAGGTGGAGGAGGACCTGGACCTTCTGTATGACACACTGGACATGGAGAACCCCAGCGACAGCGGCCCTGACATGGAGGATGACGACAGTGTCCTCAGCACCCCCAAGCCAAAGCTCAGGTGGGCATGGCCACTGCCTGGCACCAGAGACACCAGGCATGGCTGCCAGCCAGTGCCAGGTGGCTGTGCACCCTCCAGCCCAGGGGCCACAGGCAGTGGGCGGAGGCGGGTGGCGAGGTGTGGACCCCACAGGCACCCCGGGCCTGCCGTATCGGTGCACGTGACCAGCAACAGAGTGATAAGGTCAGGCGCGCATCTAGGAAGCTCTCTGGAGTGTGCTGGGGGTGGGGGGGGGGTGAGGGGCAGCTGGGGCCATGCCCACGGGCGGCCGTGGCATCGGGGGTCGGGAGGGGTGCTGGGAGGGTGTGGAAGGCAAGAGCTCCGGGTGCGGGGTGGGCAGGCGGAGGAGGCACGCCGTCCCAGGAGGGGCACCAGCAGGCGGCGGGCCGCCAGGCTGTCTGTCCAGTGAGGAGATGGGTGTGCTGGGTACAGCAGAGGGGCCCCGCCACACGGGTGTCGTGGGCAGCCCAGGTGAGAGGACAGGATGCAGGTCTGTACGGGGCCCGGGCCCTGGACGCTCAGGAGGCCTTGGGGCCGGGAGGGCCTCGGCCCGCAGGACGGGGCTGTGGCTGCTGAGGAGGACGGGGCAAGGCGAATTGGGTCCGGGAGGCTGACAGGAGCGAGAGACAGAGGGGCACAGCCAAGCCAGCCCGCTGTGCTGCTGACGCCCCTCAGCTCACCCGCAGCCACCGACACCCCCCCAGGAGCCTCATGTCCCATCAGTTCCCTGTGGCCGCTCCTCCAGCTCAGAGCCGGGCAGCTAGCCCAGTGCTCTGGGTGCCCTGTGGCATCCCCCGCCCTCAGCTGGGGAAGGTCTCTGCTTTCATCAGCCCATATGGGCAGTCCCCTTGCTGCCCAGTGACCTAGGCCACCACCCATCTGTAGCTCCACTTGTCAGCCGCCCCTATGGGGGACCCCTGGCCAGCTGGTGTTTGCAGTTCTGGGGTGGGGTATGGGTGCCTTGGGGCCCTGCTTCTGCCTGCAACACACGGTCCTGCTCACACTTCCACGTCCCCGTGTGGCCTTGTCCCTGACGTGCTTGAGCCCCGCCCATCATTCAGCTTCACCGCCTCCCAGGCCCCTTTCTTCAAGAGTCCCTGATGTCTGCTGCCGGGAGGGACGTCTGGTCCACCCAGGCTGTGCTGAGGGCACTATGTCGCACTACTGTGGTGTCCCTGTGTTCCTGCTGTGTGCCCACGACCCCCACCCGGACAGTCCTCAGGGGGGTTTGGAGGAGGCCCACTGCCCCATGCCATCTTGCCCAGGGCTGCTGGAGCAGCTGGGGACTTACGTCGGGCGGGCAGGGCAGCCAAGAAGGGGCAGCGTGGGCCTGTGCTCTCTGTGCTGTTGGGGGGCATGCACTGATGCCAAGCCTTCTGAGAGCACTTCTCAGAGCCAGCCCCGCCCGGCATCAGAGCCCTGCTGGGCACAGTGGCTGTCCATGTGTGGGGAGGGTCCTGGAGAATGACCCCCTGTCCATTCACCATCCCCAGGCCATACTTCGAAGGCCTGTCGCACTCCAGCTCGCAGACGGAGGTCGGGAGCATCCACAGTGCCCGGAGCCAGAAGGAGCCTCCGAGCCCCGTAAGTGGGCGGCTCCCAGGCAGGGCGGGGCGTTTAGTCCTTCCTGCCTGCCTCGCTTGGGGCTCGGGTGGTGCTTGCACAGTGGTGCTGGGCGAACTGGAACCCAGACGTGCTCCTGGGTCTGTGGTGTGGCCGAGTTTCCCTGCCCGATGCCGGGTGCCTGCATGGGGCGACCCTGAGACCCCATGCGGGAGACCCCGACCATCTGCCTGGGCCACCTCCCAACCCAGAGCCCCTGCCCACAGAGGGCCAGCCCCAGCAGCCACCTTTAAACCACGCCTATACTCACTGTCCACACAGGCCGACATGCCTGAGAAGACGCGGGCCGTGGGAGGCAAGCAGCCAAGCGACAGCGTCTCCGAGGCAGCGGCCCACGTGAGCAGGCGCAAGGCTGCACTCAGTCGCCCAGCACAGACCAGCTTACATGCTTCCCTTGGGGTTCTGACCTGGCAGGGCAGGGTGCCCCATGCAGGTCCTCCTGCTCAGTGCCCATGACCACAGCCACAGTGAGGGCGCCCCTGGACTCGCCACCCCAGGGGACAGTCAGGTCTGGACTCGCCCCCAGCCTAGGGATGGTCAGGGTGCCCTGGACTGAACCCCACCCCATGGGGACAGTGGACACCCCTCCGCTGCCCTGTCAGGCACAGGCCCTGTGAGCACCATGGTTGACCCTCGCGCAGGTTCTCGGAGGGTCCTGGCCCTTGAGGCAGGTTCTAGGGGTGTGTGGTGCTAGTCTCCTTGTGGCGGGTTGGAGGTCAGGGCCAGCCAGGCTCCTCGGCGTGTCGGGGAGAAGGTCAGACAGCCCCTTAGGGAATGTATGTGGCTGTGTCATACGCAGGGGCCCCCCCGCCCAGGAGAGGCGCAAACACCCTCACAACCCCTAAGTGTGAGAGTCTGGCCCCTGAGAGGAACCACTGCAGGGTGCGGGGTCCTGAGGGCTTCCTTCTCTGCCTGCAGAGCGTGCCCGCCCCTGGGGAGCAGCCGGCTCAGCCAGAGGACAGCCCAGAGGTGGAGGCCTCCGCCCTGGACGTGTTCACCGAGAAGCTGCCGCCCAGCGGGAGGATCACCAAGACTGAGTCTCTGGTCATCCCCTCCACCAGGTGATGGGTGCCCTGGGGAGGCAGGGGCCTGGCAGTGCCCTGTGGGCCAGTGTGGGTGGAACAGACATGTCCGGGTGTGGCGCCCTGTCAGGGCAGGACCTGTGTGCCCAGAGAGCATCGTGAGGGGCACACAGACTTCTGGGCGCACCCTTGGAGTCCCACATTCAACTGCCACCCCTCCATTTGTATCAGCTGCCACGCATGTGTCGGGGCCAGGCTGGGGTCCCCCTCGCCCCATTGTGTACTTACCTGGAGCAGGCTCCCCTTGGGCCGGGGCTCGTGCGGGAGCTGCCCAGTGTGGTACAGGCAGTGGACCAGCCAAACCTGTGGGCGAAACTCCAGGTGGAGCTGGCCCACTGCCCGCTGTGGGCCCCCCATGGGGTGGGCCCAGTTCCCTCCCTCCTGGAGTGGGTCGTGGGGCTGGTGAGCGCTGGGTGTGGAAGGGGGTGGGTCTGAGTTGCTGTGACTACAGGTGGCTTCCTTGGGAGGGACGTGCTCTCGGGGTCTCTCACCTGCTCTCTCCCGCTCTGCTGTCTTGGCCAGACCAGGGTGCTTTTCTGAGACCCAGCCTGGGAGGTGCTTTCCTGCCCTGGCTCCGCTGAGCCTTCCTTGGGCACCTGGCTCGGCTCCTAGCTGCCCTCTGTGCCTCCAGGCATGGTCATCCCCCAGCCCCATACCCCCACAACTACCAGGGCTGAGGGCTTCCGTGGGGTGGACAGGCTGCCAGAAGGAACAGTGGGGCTGGCATGGGCACCCTGCCCTACCCCAGGACTGCCATCCCATGCAGCTAGCACTCGCATGTGGCTTCAGGCCTTCTTTAAGGCAAGCGTGCCAGGTGGCGTGGCCTCCACCAGCCCTTCATGCCATGGGAATCCGCTGACAAAAACAAAGCCCAGTGTTAGCCCAGCATTCGGTAGTGAAGGCTGGACCCTACACTTTCACCAGACCAGGGTCCCCGTCCTGGCCACCACAGCCAGCGGGGACAACGTGCCAGCCAGTCTGCGTTTAATGGTCTTGGGACAGAAGCCTCCAGTCTGGGTGTTGGTGTTTACCTGGTGGGGTCACACAGGGGCCTGGGTCAGGGCCAAGAGGGACCAGGCTGGTGGGAACTGGCCTGCACCGGCTTGTCCCGGTGTGGGGGGGTCTCGGTCTTCACAAGTGACCCTGAGGCCCTCATGTCACCTGCCCAGGGATGTCAACTTTGGCTGCCCCCACTGATGATTGGCTCCCTGCCCTGGGGCAGTGAGCACATGGACCCCAGCCTGTGTTGGCCCCCCCACAGGTCCGAGGGGAAGCAGGCCGGCCGCCGGGGCCGGAGCACATCCCTGAAGGAGAGGCAGCCGGCAAGGCCACAGAATGAGCGAGCCAACAGCCTGGACAGTGAGCGCTGCCCAGACACGCGGAGCCAGCTGCAGGTGCGGGGGCGTGGCCCGGCGGGGAGGGGGCGGAGCCATCCTGGGCGGAGCGGGGGCGGAGCCAAGGTGGGGGCGGTGTCAACTGCAGGGGCTGGGGAGCCGGGGCGGAGCTCGAGTGAGGGCGGCCCGTCACCCGGAGCGCTGGTTAGGACAGCCCCACTGCTCGTGCTCGCTGCCCTCCCCTTGGTCCCGGGCGGCCTGGCCTGGAGGGGCCTTCACCGCGGTGGCCTCTCTCCAAAGCGAAGTCGAGTTCCTGCCAGTTGCGGGGGCCTGGGGAGCTGCGCGGGTGTGTGGGGGGTGCAGTGCCTCTCCCACCTGGTGTGCTCGCGCCGTGTGTCTCTAGATCCCCAGGAAGACCGTGTATGATCAGTTAAACCACATCCTCATCTCTGACGACCAGCTCCCCGAAAACATCATTCTTGTCAACACCTCCGACTGGCAGGGGCAGGTGGGGAGGGGCCGGGCGTCCCCTCTGCAGGGTGGAGGGGCGGGGGTCTGGCCAGCCTGGCACGCTGTGGATCTCTGATGGCTGCCGGGTCGCGGGCAAGTGGGGTGGAGGCAGCCGAGGCTTACTCTCCGCCCTCGGCCCCCAGTTCCTTTCTGACGTCCTGCAGCGGCACACGCTCCCCGTGGTGTGCACGTGCTCCGCGGCCGACGTCCAGGCGGCCTTCAGCACCATTGTCTCACGGATACAGAGATAGTGAGTCCCACACCTTCCTCGTGGTGTCGCTGCCCGCGTGTCTGGTGGGCTCTGCTCTCCACCTGGTCTGGAGCTTGGTCATGGTGCTGCGGGCAGATCCTGGGCATGCTGACCACAGGTTCCCCAGGGGCTGTCTTCTCTCCAGATCTGGGCGGGTGCTGGGACAGTGGCCCAGGCCAGAGTGCCCGCAGCATGGGGGGGCGCCTGGTAAAGAAGCGGCCTCAGGTGGCTGCCACGCAGGGCCCAGACACCCACCTGCAGCCTGGGCAAAGCCGAATGACCTCTGGCTGGGGGGGCTTCCGCTCTGAGGGGCTGGCTCAGTGGCTTCATCGGGATGGGGAACAGCCCTGCATTTGGGGTTGCAGGAGGCAGGGTGCATGGACGCCTGCACCTCCGCCCCGGGCTCAGCGAGGGTGGCACTCGCAGCCAGGGCGGCTCCCTAAGGCCTCTGTCCCCTCTCTATCCTGTCTGTGGGGACACAGCTGCAACTGCAATTCCCAGCCCCCTACCCCTGTGAAGATCGCGGTGGCTGGGGCTCAGCATTACCTCAGTGCCGTGCTGCGGCTCTTCGTGGAGCAGCTGTCTCACAAGACCCCGGACTGGCTGGGCTACATGCGCTTCCTCGTCATCCCACTGGGTGAGGGGCCGGGGCTGCAGAGACCAGGGCTCACGCCGGGGCCTTGCTGAGTTCACGGCACAACGTGCGGGGCAGTTCCAACCCGGCTGGGCCATCCCCGCCCCATGCGCTGGCCCCACACACGGCTGTCAGGGTGACTTGATGCCGACTTTGATTTCCCTTGTCAGAAATGAAAAGTAGGAGTTAGTCACGAGTCCTGCGCAATCATACTGCTTGTATTTCGGTTCACACAGTTTGTGTGGTGACAAACCTGTAACTGTCAATCCACCGGAAAGCAAGGGTCCTGGGGGAGACCCTGGGCCACCTCGAGGCCCCTGGTGTCGGGCGCCGGCCGCTCTGCAGGGTGTGCCTGGCCCAGCCCCACTGCCGCCTCCTGCCCCTCGTGGAGGAGCTGGGGCTGCTGGGGAGCGCGGCAGGCCCGCACCCTGACGCTGCGCCCTTCCCTTGCAGGTTCCCACCCTGTGGCCAGGTACCTTGGCTCCGTGGACCACCGCTACAACAACTTTTTCCAGGACCTCGCCTGGAGAGACCTGTTCAACAGGCTGGAGGCCCAGAGCACTGGTGAGGCCTGGCCCGCGGCTCTGGCGTCCACACCACCCACCACACCTCGTTCTCAGCCCAGCCATGCCCGAGCGCCTGGGGGCTGTCAGGGCACACCTGGTGTGGGGCTGAAAGGGGCAGGGCCCTGGGGGTGTGCCCTCGGGATGTGGGGAGGGCACAGACCCTCAGCCAGACTCCTGGCTCGGGGAGCTGGGCATCCTGGGAAGCTGAGGTGGGGCGGGGCCTGAGCGTAGCGGCCCGCGGACCCCGCCTGGCCTCCTCGCGCAGTGCAGGACACGCCGGACATTGTGTCGAGGATCACACAGTACATCTCGGGGGCCAACTGCGCCCACCAGCTGCCCATCGCGGAGGCCATGCTGACCTACAAGCAGAAGAGGTACCTCCCTGGGTGCTGGGCTGGCAGGTGGGGGAAGCGAGGGACACCCAGCCCCATGCGGTAGACGCAGGCCTCCTATGGCCACCGTGTCCCAGCTCCATAGGCGGCGTGTTGGGATCTCTGAAGGATGGGACCTGGGTGGGCTTGGGGGGAAGGCTGCGGGCCAGCAATTGGTCCCCTCCAACCCCTGGAGTCTCCCTTGCCCCGGGCGCAGCCAAAATGAGCTGGGTGTGTCTTCTGTTTTCTGTTTCGTAAAATTGAAAGGGATAGCTGTTGTGCTGCGCAGCCCCCAGCAGTTACTCACTCGCTCCTTTAAGCCCCCAGGGCCTTTGGGAGGCGGGGGCACACCATCACCCTGCCCAGAGCAGGACCGCAGTCAGGCGCCACGGGCTGGAGGCTGGTGGGGTGCAGGTCTGGGTGCCGGGCCCACAGGCTGGGGCGCCAGGCTGTTGAAGGACACTGAGTGGCCCCTTCTTGGCCAGGCCTTGGACACAGCAGCCCCTCTGGGGAGTCGCAGGTGGGCGGAAGGCCCGTCGAGGGGCAGGAGCAGGTGGGCCCTGCAGCCTGTCAGAGCAAAGCATCTCTGCCCCCCGCGCGGGGGCGCCAGGCGTCTTTCCTGGCGTGGGAGGTATGGAGTTAGGTTACAGTGTCTGTGAGGGACAGTGGCCAGTCTGGTGACGCTGGTCCGTCCTCGCACATGGGGCATCTGCCGCCCCTGCGCACACCTCTGCTGTGCCACGCTTGGGCGTGTGGAGCGCCGAGCCATAGTGACTCTCTGTTCTCTCTTTGGGGCTCTCTGGAAAGGAAAAAGAACTTTCACTTTGACTTTGCCCTCAGGTACCGCTGTCTTGGGGTTGCCCCCCTCTGTCCCTAGGCTGGTCTTTAGGGTTGTTTAGCAGTGTCAGCAGGTGGGGGCACCTCCCCAAGGGCCACCAGACTCCCTCCCCTCTGCGGCTTTTCCCCTGGGGTCAGGACAGGCAGCACAGGCCCGCAGGGTCCTGGCTGAGTCAGGAGGGCAGCCACAGCACGGCCCCCCCACAGCCACCCCATCCCCACCATGGAGCCTGCCCGCACTCTGGACCCTGTGGCAGCGCCCTGCAGGCTGGAGGTCAGGCACGCGGGCCTCCTCTGCCCGCTTTGGTCTGTGGTTGTGGGTTACAGAGAGGCAGGACTCTGCTCCTCAGTGTGTTTCTGAAGCCCCAGGTGGCACAACCTCTTGGGGCAGAGTAGAGGCCTGGGGCCACAGTGCGGGTGGCTTGGCCCCCTGTGAGCAGCTTGACTAGCCCTGCTCAGGCCTGATGGCCCTGGGAAGCCAGCACTAAGCTGATGCAACCCTAACGGGGGGACGTTCAGGCAAGGGAGGCTGGGAGCTTGTGCAGGGCGCTCGGAGCCTGCCCCTCCCACTAGCAGGGGCTTCCTTGGCACAGCTCTGTGGCTTGTCTGCACAGGCCAGACCCCCGAAGTCACCCCTGAGGTGGCTCTCCTCTCTGAAAACCTGTATGTTGAGAGTCAAATCCCGGATGCCCCCAGAGCAGCCTCTCCCGCTGGGGGCCCCTTCCTGCCCCAGCATCCTGCTCTGTCACTGCTCTGGGCCTCGGGTTCTTTGCCCTTACAGGACCCCCACCCAAGGGAGGATCGTTGGGTCCCAGGTTGCCCCTTGCTGGGCCTTAGAACAGATCAGAAGAGGGGGAGTCTGAGCCCCTACAGCTGTCCTGCTAAACAAGCCTTCTTGGGCGAGAGAAAGACCAGTCCCACTGCGTTCTGCGGACCCCCAGCCGGCCCTTGGGCCTGTGACGGCTGCGCTTTGCTGCAGCAGCTTTTCTCCCCCACGGTCAGTTCCTCTGAGCAGCAAGTGGGGCTTTCAGAGACCCTGACCCTCCTCCCTTGCCCCCCGCCCCCGCCTCCGCATTACAGCGGTGACACCGGCGCCCGGGGGTGGGGTGAGGGCTCCAAATGCTTGGGATAAAGGTGGCCCCGTGTGTCAGCCATTCTCGGGGCCCAGGGCCAGGAGGTCAGCAGGTCAGCCTTTGCCAGATGTGATAGAGAGCAGCCTTCTGTGCGGGAGGCCCAGGAGAGGTGAGTAGTGTGCACAGCCCTCCTGGGCCTCTTTGGCCCGGGCCCCCCGAGAGCCCCTGTAGGGAGGATCCTGTCTGCACAGCACCCAGTCCTCAGCCTGACATCAGACCTGAGGTTAGACCCCATTGCTGGTCGCTGCCCACCTCCTGGGTGCAGCCCAGGCAGCTTCCTCGGGTGCTGGGAGAGGATGCCCAGTGCCCCCACGTCCTGGCCCATGTGGATCACACCCCTGACGTTTGGGGGCTCGCTTCGCACCTGCTGCCTCGTGCAGGTCTCACGAGCCGGACCCCGGGCCCTTACGACGGTGTGAGCCTTATTAGCTCTGGCCGCCACCTCTGCCCACGACTTGGGTGCTCTCTGCATCCAGGGTTCAGGCTGAGGGCCTCATTAGCAAGCCGGTGTCACCCCTGTCATGCCGGGCACGGGCACGTGTTGAGAGCTGAGTGTTGTCTGCATGGCCCAGAGACATGGCTTGGCTTCGAGAGTTCCTGTGCACCCCGTGTTGTGGCGCTGCCCGAGTCCCAGCCCTTGAGGCCCTCGTCTGCCTCCCTGTGTGCCTTGTGGGGAGGGTAACAGGCAGCCCTCTCTCCGGGTTGGGACCCCCCATGGGCCAGAGACCCCACTAAGGCCTCGCTGCAGAAGCGGGCCTGGACCCAGGATCGGGACCGTTCTGTTACTTGACCTGATGGATGGGGGATGTTTTCTTTTCCACCTCTCCTGCTTTTAGCTGGAAGAGGACGGCTAAGAATGTGGTCATTTCCACAGGACAGACCGAATCTATGGGTTCTTTCAGGCAGATGTCGGCCAGGTCTTCTGCAGGGGTGGGACGGGCTGCTGGGCAGAGGCTGTGGGTCCCGGGAGCTGGCACCCAGAGGGCACGTCCTGCAGCAGCTCCCTGTGTGGCACGCACAGGTCTGTCTGCAGGGGTCACTCTCTGATGTCAGGCTCTGTGGTCTGCGGAAATGGAACAAGAAACGGAGCTGGGAGGTGGGCTTTAGCCACGTGGACACCACCAACCTGAGGGGCTGCGGAGGGAGCTCACCTCTGTTCTCTGAGTCAGCAGGAGGGACAGAGGCCTAGGAGTGGCCCTGCTCTGGGGACCTTCCCCAAGGCTGAGAAGGAGGTGCTCTTCCGGCCAGGGGTGGGGCCTCGGCCTGAGTCCCGCAGAGAGCCCCCTGGGCTGTAGCCCAGACCTCGGCAGAGACCCGTCAGTGGGCAGCCTGCCGCAGGGCCAGCCCTGGCCTGGGCCTCATGCTTCTGCACTGTCCCCACCCCTTCAGAGGGCCCCTGGGCTCTGCCCTCACCGTGGATTGGGCTGTAACGGCCGTTTTAGGGAGGTTGCAGTTCTGAGGAAAGTTGTGCAGAGCTGAGTCCAGACAGCAGCTCCATGGCCACCACTGCAGCAGCATGGCCCAGAGGCCTTGGTCTCTTCTGGGCTATTCTGGGGGTGTTGTTCTCTCAGAGCATGGCATGTGTGCCCCTCACTGAGGCCAAAGGCCTGGGGACAGTCCCGCCTTTCTAGTCAGTAGTGGGCACCAACTACTCAGACTATATGGGAGAAACCTCCATGCCCTGGCTTTGAGGCAGTCCCCTCAGTCACTGGAGACCAGACTGTTCCCTGGGGGCCCCAGAGGCATGCCAAGCAAGTCCTTCTCTGGGCTAAGTAGGGAACCTAGGTCTGCAGGGCGGGCAGCAAGGCGGGTGGGCAGGGCTGGCATGGAGAGCAAACCACTTGGACCTCATGCTCCCCAGGGCTCCCCTGGCCTCTTGGCCTTGGGTGGGCACAGAAAGAAAGGTGTAGGTCCCTGTGTGCCACTGGGGGGAGGGGCGTGGCTGGGATTCCCGGGCTGCCCCCCAGCTGGCAGTGTGCCCACCTTGATGTGGGAGCCTGCCCCTACAGGAGGCTGTGACTGTGTCTTCCTTGCTCTTAGCCCTGATGAGGAGTCCTCTCAGAAGTTCATCCCCTTCGTCGGGGTGAGTACTGCGTGCTGGGCTGTGCCCTGTGGGCGGCATGTGGCTCCGCCTGCTCGGGGACCTGTTGACCTAAAGGGCTGCCGCAGCCATTCTACATTAATTTGAACATTCCAGAACATCTTCACCACTTGGAGTTGAGGGCCCTTCAGCTGTCTCCCATGTCACAGCTCATTGTTCTCTTCCTGTGCTGAATGGGGTTGCGTCCAGGGGTTGCCAGGGCCCCAGCTCTGCGGGGAGTGGGTGTATGCAGGCAGGCAGCCACCTGCCATGCCGTCCTCAGCACCCACCGAGCATCGCACCAGTGTCAGACCAGCTCTGCAGGTGGCGCTTGGCCGGCAGAGCCTCAGGACGGGCCCTTCCCAGGGTGAGGCAGAGGAGGCCCCTGTCCTTTAGGGGCTGTGGGACAGGAGGGGGTACGTCCTGTGCTGCCTGCTCAGGGGACACGGCCTGTGAACGGGAGCTTCACCTTTCTCCCACTAATGAGGGTGAAGGGCTGCTCCATGCCAGCCAGCCGCTGTGGCCCCCCTGGCCCCATGTTTGCACAGCCTCTAGTGGCCTCTAGTGGAGGTGTCTGCTGCCCAAGCTGTAAGGTGACCTGGAAGATGGGGCCACCAGTCAAGGCAGGTCCTCTGGCCCTGGTTCGCCCTGGTCAGGCATTCGGGTGGCAGCTGGCCTTCCTGGCGAGTGGTGGGGGGAGGATTAGTCTAGAGCAGCTGCCCCATGGAAGTTTATGTAGAGACAGCCACAAGCCCCTTGTGACACAAAGTGCCACCATGTGACCAAAGCACGAGTTAGAGTGAGTCCCTTTAACTTTAGAAAGCACCCGTCTGGCTCGGCACGGGTCTAGGCCCCTGACAGTCCGCCCAAGGCTCTGGAGCAGCAGCTGCCTGGACCAGGCACCTTGTGTGGCCTGTTAGCTGGGCAGGCTCCTCACTGACATTCGGACCTGGCCAGGCACAAGGCCTTTGGTGCACTGATGGCCAGGCTGTGGGACCTGAGAGGCTGAGTCCGGGAGAGGCCCTGCTGGAGGCCTGGAGGCTGCGTGCACGGGAACACCAGGTGCAGCCACACGCCAGGCCAGGGGCGGGCTGGCAGCCGTGCACCTCATGGGGCCTGTGCCTCCCTCGCGGGGGTGCAGGATGGCCACGGAGCATGCTGTGCCTTGGAGTCCCCCAAACGCCCCCTCAGAGGGAGGGCCCCTTGGCCCGGCCTGGTCGTGGCCGACCATCCGGGCAGTGGCTGCCCCGAGCTTGCCTCTGCCGCACAGACTGGGGGGACTAGGACCCAGCTCCGCCCAGCAGCTCCTGTGGCGGGGGGGCATGGCAGGCAGGCGGCAGTGTGAAAACGGTCCTGCCTGGGTCTGGGCCGTGGCATGCCGGGTGGTATGGCTGGCCGTCACCCCACCTCTGATGCAGCTCATGTCCTGCCTTCCAGGTGGTGAAGGTTGGAATAGTGGAACCGTCGTCAGCCACATCAGGTGACTCCATCCTCCCACCTTTGGGGCCGGGATGCAGGCAGGGCAGGGGCAGCCCCAGAGCCTTGGCAGGGCCCAGGGGCAGAACCGCATGCTCACGGGGAAGGGCGACCGCTTTGTGCCACGCGTTCCGTCATGCCTTGCGTGATATTTCCGCTTCCTGAAGACTGGGTCACCCCCACTACGGGCACAGCAGCGCCTCCTACAACACCCTCCCCAGCCCATGGGGCTGCCCAGCCTCCCTGCTGCGTCCCGGGACAGAGCAGCAGGGGGTTCAGCGCTGCCCCTAACTCCTCAGGTGACTCAGATGACGCAGCCCCCTCGGGCTCTGGTGCGCTCTCATCCACCCCACCGTCCACATCCCCTGCGGCCAAGGAAGCCTCCCCCACCCCGCCTTCCTCCCCGTCGGTGAGCGCAGGCCTGTCTTCCCCCAGGTAAGCACAGCCATGTGGGCTGGGCTCCCCCTTTATTGCCTAGGTGCCCCCACCCCTGACCCTTGACCCTAGACACACTGCCCATCCAACTCAAGTTCCCCTGGGGACTCAGGTTAGGGGACACCAGCTCTTATGGTGGCTGACCGCCCCACAGGTCCAAGCTGGGTCTGGCTGGAAGGTGGGTTCAGAGCCTCAGGGAGGGAATGGGCATGCTTGGACAAGGGTGCCCAGGACATGGGGCGGGTACAGGTCCTGGTGTGGCTTCAGAGGCAGGGGACAGCCTGGTGTCTCTCCCAGCCCCCACCATGGGGGCCAGAAACTACACAGTCAGTAGATGGGGGTGTTCTGCACAGACAAGGGTCTTGGGAACTCAGATGTGGTAGACAGCATGTGGGGTGGTCAGCAGCCCTCTGGGCCACCCTCAGGTTTCATGGGAACTTACCCTGCAAAGCTGGGGGGTCATCACAGCCGAGTGGGCCATGAGGTCACAGGGCTGCGCCTCTGAAAAGGCTGGTTGACCTTGGCCCTCCAGACTCAAGGGGCAGCTTGGGAGAGCAGGTGGGTGGCAGGCCTAGGCACTCCAGGTCGGCCCTGGCATCATGCCCATGTGAGCACCTGGGGTCAGCCCTGCACACCATGCCCAGAGTTGGGCAGCACAGGGCACCCGCTGGCACCTCCGTGCCTGTGCTGGCCCAGGGACGCCACTGTCGCCGCCGAGGACGGAGGAATGAGCTGCCCTCTGCTTTCACAGCCAGGGCCTCGGTGCCGAGCTGATGGGGCTGCAGGTGGACTACTGGACGGCGGCCCAGCCTGCAGACAGGAAGAGGGATGCGGAGAAGAAGGACTTGCCTGCCGCCAAAAACACGCTCAAGTGCACCTTCCGGTCTCTCCAGGTCAGCAGGCTGCCCAGCAGTGGTGAGGCTGCAGCCACGCCCACCATGTCCATGACTGTGGTCACCAAGGAGAAGAACAAGAAGGGTGAGGTGGGGGGACAGGGTGGCTGTCGGGACAGCGGGGGTGGGGCCCCACGGGTCTGGGGGCTGCGCGTGACCAGAGCCCTGTGCAGAGGCCTCCTGGTGCGTGGGAGGGCAGGCGGCGGCCACAGCGGCAAGTGGGCTGTCTCAGCGGCCCGAGGACCGAGGGGCAGCAGTGGACTGACGCACGGCCCCCCCTCCTCCTAGTGATGTTTCTGCCCAAGAAAACCAAGGACAAGGACGTGGAGTCCAAGAGCCAGTGCATCGAGGGCATCAGCCGTCTGATCTGCACGGCCAAGCACCAGCAGAACATGCTTCGGGGTGAGTGCCCGCGGGGGCCCCTCGACTCAGGAGGCCCCCAGGCCAGCTGTCCTTCCTTCAGCAGGGAGCCCCTGAGGAGTCAGGCCCTTGCAGGACACTGCCGGCTCTGTGTGTGACACGCAGAAGGGACCCAGGGCAAACCCGGGCTGCTTTTAGAGCCACCTCAGGAAATGCTTTAGTTTGGCTGCAAAATGCATCTTACATACTTTGGTTAAGGCACTTATACGCATGGGATAGCTTTCAAATTGAGAAATAATTTCTCCATCCTCTTTTGGTCTTTTAAAAGATTGGTTTTTATAGAAAATACTCTGTAGGTAATTGATTCAGAACATGGAGCTCGAGAGGGTTTGCTCTTTGCATGCACGCCTGACGTCCTCGGCGGGTGAGAACCACCATGCCTTCCTCCGGCAGTTTTCCAGCTCCAGTGGAGGGTGTTTTAAACCTGCTGTGCAGAGCCGTGGGAGGGGTGGGAGCAGTCTGGCCTCAGTGGGTGGCTCAGACCCCGGAGGGGCAGTGGCAGTGGGGGATCCCTGGGGGGTGTCAGGCCCCTTCAGCCTTGCCCTGTGGCCTGGAGGGCAGGCGGGTCAGGCAGTCTTGTCCCCGCAGTCCTCATCGACGGCGTGGAGTGGAACGACGTCAAGTTCTTCCAGCTCGCGGCCCAGTGGTCCTCCCACGTCAAGCACTTCCCCATCTGCACCTTCGGACACTCCAAGCCCACCTTCTAGCCCCGCCTGTCGGGGCCACCGCAGCCCTGCCTGCAGCCCTGTGGGCCGAGTGCCGGGGCCCAGCTGCTTTCTGTTAACATTTCAGTTCACTACAGACGCAGACTCTTAAAACACAGAGAGAAATGGTCTTAAGTATGACTGTGCTCACAGCCTGGGAACTAATGGGGAGCTTCCCCCTGGAGGCCCGTTGACTGCTCCGCTTCTTAACCAGAACGTGCTGGCTGGGTGGCCAGGTGGGCTGCGTGCAGCTGGAGGATCCTGGAAGGTGTGCCCCCCCGGCGAGAAGGGTTCTCATCTTCGTGTCCTGTCCTTCCTGAAAGCCAGGACTCTGCGTCCTCAGGGAGCCGGGGGCAGGCGGGTGGCTGCACAGACCAACAGGCTGCCTGTGTGCCCAGGCGCAGAGCTGGGGGGCCAGAGCCAGAGGCCAGCCTCCAGAGCACAGAGGCCGGCCGGCCCCACCTGGGGCCCCAGCCACCTACCAGCCCAGAGGTGCCCCAGCACCGCCCACGCGTGGTCCCTATAAACTCCAGCCTCACAGGGCAGAAGAGGCTTTTAGTAGCAGATATTTTTAACGCTGTTAAATACATGTTATAATGTAGCTGCCAAACAGACATTGCTCTTCTGATGTCCCTGCGCCCCTCAGGGCTGGGGCAGAGCCAGCCCCCAACACCGGTCTCGCCCCACAGCGTGCTCCCACCACTGTTGGAGACACCACCACGCTCCTGCAAGCTGTCCCTGCCCTGAGTTCAGCAAGCACGGTGGCCTCCACAGGCACCCCAGCCTGCTCGGCCGCCTCCCCTGCTGCCAGCCCACCTTCTGGCTGTGGCGTGCGTGGGCCAAATGACCCAGGGTTTTGTGTAACCCAAGCACCACTGTGGCCAGTGAATGCCCAGGCAGGGCGGCCTGACCGCAGGGGCCAGGACCACTGGAGCTATGGTTGCAGCCTGGAGGACCCCTCGGGCCAAGGGCCCGGCCACTCGGCCAAGCTCCTGAGTGAGGTTTAGGTTTGGGTCCCGCCCTGGGTGGCAGTCCTGCCCTCCGCCTTCCCGGGTAGCAGGAGGTGGGGTCCTCCCCAGTCCTGCTGCTCCCACAACCCCACAGCCCGGTCCCCACAGGAAGAGCCCTCCAGCTCTCGCAGCTGGGACCCTGGGACCCTGCCGGCCCACCCCGAGGGCTGTGCTCTTGGTTTCCTAAGGCCCTACTCGGGAAACAGTGCCAGACACGGGACAGGCTGCAGACCGCTCCCATTCTTCCAGAGGACGGGCCTCTGGCAGTCCATGGCACAGGGGTGCAAGATGTCCCACTTTTCTTACCCGTGACCTTCCTGCTTCCCTCCTCCCCCAGGTAAAGGGACGGGTCCGAATGTTCACGGTCACAGGCCCTAGGTGAGTTGGTGGACAGGACCAGGACATGACCTTGGGTTTGGCCCCCACTTGGATACCTGCAGGCAAAGTGCTGGGCAGAGGGCTGCTCCCAAGAGCCCTTTTCACTGAAATTTGCCCCCTCTGACAGCACCTGGGACCTGGCTTGGAAGGAACTGAGGTAGGGTGCCGGCCACAGAGCAGGCCTGCCCGTGGCTTCTATTTGAAGGGAGCCGTGGACCCCTGAGGGTCCTGCCCTCACCACTGAGACCTCATCTGCTCACTTTTTCAGAGGTCACGTTCGACAGGAGCAGGTGCTGGTGAGGCACCGGACTCAGCCTTCCAGCTGCAGGGCAGGCTTCAGAGAAACACCCAGGGGCTCCCCTGCCCCTCCTGGCTGAGGGCCCCCCCTTTTCTGGGTCCTCTTCTGCCCACTTCTGTGGCTGTGTCCTCACATTGTGCAGAGGACCCAGTGCCTCCACCCTGTGCCTGGGCCTGCAGAGCCCGCTGTGGTCTGTCCTCTGCCTGAGTGCTGTGGGGCCCACACACCACACCCTCCCTGGGCCACACCTTGCTCAGGGACTCGGGCTGCACGTACCCCTGTGCCTCAGTTTCCCCATCAGCTAAACGGGAATGGTCACATTTCCTCTGCCTACCTCATGGAGCTCTTGTGAGGATACATGTAGAAGCACTTTGTCCCTCAAAGGAAGAGGACACAGAAGCCAAAGCCATCTGACTGCGCGGGTGTGGCTGTGAGCACAGCGGGATGGGGGGCGTGAGCTGTGTGGGCCCCAGACAGCAGCGCACAGGACAGGAGCGGCCCCTCGGCAGCAGTTCTCAGCCCACTGGTTAACCAGAGGTAACTAGCACTCAAGCCACCAGTTACCATCAGGCAAGGCCAGGCTCCCCCGCCAGCCGGGCTGCTGCAGTCCAGCATGGTGCGGGCAGGCACTGCCCTTGCCTGGGCCTGGTAAGGGGCAGCCCCTTCCTTGCAGCCAGGCTCACTGCTTGCTCCCTCCCGTGACCCCCGGCTAGTGTCATGAGTGTCATGGCCGCACCTCGGAAAGAAAACCCCCTGGGCCCAGCCGGGGTCTGTGGGGCAGAATGGCCAAGGCCGACCTTGCTGCACTGTCCTTGCTTCCCGACGGCCCTTCGTGGGTCTGGCCTTTTGCCCAGAACAGATTCCTCCTTAGACCAGGCCGCCTTGCTCTGAGGGCCAGCGGCCTGTTCTCTGACCTCCTCCCCAGACCTGGCCTTCCCTCCGTGGGGATGTCCCTGGGCGGTCTGCAAGAGCCCGAGGGCTGGGCTCGATGGCAGGCCAAGGGCCGCCACGGTACCGGTCTGCAGACTCCATCCATCCCGTTAATGGCGCAGTTTGGTTTCTAGGATGTACGCGTTGCTTTTTGTTTTTGTTTTTTTTTTTAACAGAATTAATGTAAGCCTTTTTGGGGAGCAGATTCTAATCTGTCACGAATGTGACCACGTGGACTATTTCAAGGTGCTGATGCAACACTAATAAACCTGGGGAGCACCCCCAGGCCCTCCTCCGCCTGCCGTGTGGTTCCTCGGGGCGGCCTCGGTCCCCCCTCACCCCGCCTCGGTCTGTTCAGACGCCGGCGCCGCTCCCAGTACCCCGGGGGAAACGGCGCGCCGCCGGGAGGGCGCTGCTGGGGCGGCGGGCGGGAGACCGGGAGTCGGGGTCCAGGAGGTCAGGCCCAAGCTCTAACCTGCCCTTCGGAAGCCCCCGGAGCGGGGCGGGGCTAGAGCTCGGGGAGGGCAGGAGCAGCAGCACGGGCCACGGGCCAGGCACGGATCTGGGCCAGGCGACGGGGTCCGGAGCGGAAGCGGCGGGGCGGGGCCTGCCGGACGGAAGCGGCGGGGGGCGGGGCTCCGGGTCGGCCAGAACCGCTGCGGGGGGCGGGGCCTGCCGGACGGAAGCTGCGAGGGGCGGGGCCCCGGGCCGGCCAGAGCCGCTGCGGGCTCGCTCCCATCCCGCAGGCCGCCGCCCGTCCAGCCCCTGCCCTGGCCCGCAGACCCCCGCGGAGTGGAGGGGGCTTCCTCGCCTCCTGTCGGCTCGCAGCCAGGGCCTAGGGTGTGGCCGGCTGCGCGCAGGTGAGGTCACCGGGGCCGGGAGGAGGGACGGGGCTTGCTAGGGCCTCCGTTCTACCGGTAGGCGGCAGGGTCCTCAGCAGGCGTACAGGTGAGAGCCAAGGGCACGTGGCCCCAGAGCTGGAGCCAGGGTGGGCGGCCTGGGCGCCGGGAGAGGAGACAGCGGTGCAGCGGCTGCTCCAGCCTGGAGTGACCAGGCGGAGAAAACTGGCAGCAAGAGCTGGGGGACCCAGCCACCCAGTGGTGGCTTGTTGGGGCCCACCCGGCACGTCGGCCCAGCGGCTGGGAGGTGTGCCACCCAAAGTCTGACACTGCCTCCATCTGCCCAAGGGTCCCAGGTAACCGTGGGGACACAGATGACCTCGGGGCTGTTTCCCCAGAGGTACAGACAGGCAGCTCCCGGGTGAAGACGGCCAGCAGGAAGCAGTTGGTTAAGGTCCCTTCGGGGAAGAAGCTGGCACCACAGCTGTCGCAGCACAGCCCCGCGCTGAGCCCTACCACCGCCAGGGGCCAGCCCGGTGCCCAGAGCAGCGGCCAGCAGGCACTGCAGACTCAGGACTGGGTAAGCTGACAGCTGCTGCGGCCTCCTCCAGCCCACAGGACCCCAAGAGCTGGCTTTGGAGGTGGCTGGTCAGGGTGTCTTGCAGAAAGGGCCCTCGGGAGGGCTGAACGGCCCCTGACCGGAGCAGGCGCTGGGGCAGAGGCACAGAGAGTACCAGCCCCCTTTCTGGGACCCTGGGGCTGGTACCAGGGTGGCTCACACCCATCCTGCCTCCCGGGATCGTACTGTCTGTCCTGCCAATGGGTTTCAGCCCCGGGCAAGTTCGCTATGGATTCACTGTGACCAAAGGAATCGACAGCAAAACGTTCTTGGGGGGGGGGTGAAAGGGTTTATTACTTGCTTGCTGTCCGGCGGTAGGTGGAGCTCTAGCGTCTCTGCCTCCGCCCAGAGCACTGGGCTGAGCTCTCTGTATAGCGCAGCGATAGCTCATCGCCTACAGGTGTGGAAGCGGCAGCCCAGCAACAGGCCCGTTACAGCATCAGGTGGTTTAAGTTCAGTGAGGATCCTGGCCGTAGGAACCCCAACTTGCCCGCGGTCTGCCTCTGGTGGGCACTCCAGAGGGGCCCTGTGAGGCCAGGAGGATGGGTCTGCCTCAGTCCTCCCAGCACCCCAAACCTGGGCCACTCCAAGAGGGTGGCCCCAAGTCCAGGGAGCTCTGCCCCACAGCAGGGACGGTGCCCTGCTGAGCAGGTAGGTATGTGGTCAGCAGTAGTTACCAAAGGCTTGACCGAGATATTCTAAGAGGCCTTACCTGTGGCAGCCCTAGACTGAAGGCTCCCCCTGCCTCACCCCCACGCCAGACAGGTGAGCAGCTCTGTGTCCACGGCCGTGAGAGTGGGTGGGGCACCGCTGCTCCACCCCAAGGGACGCTTCATGAGCAAAGGGAGCTAGACCCTCGGTTCTGTATGGTTCTGTGGGAGGGCGGGGTCAGGCCAGACAGATCCAGGCTGTGACAAGCTGGTACACGTGGTGCTAGCCACGGGCCAGCTCAGCATGCGGGAGCACTAAGCTGTGCCCTTGGGCGGGTCTGAGTGCATTCCCCTTGGTCAAAAATCTGCATAGGTTTCCCCACTGCCAGGGAAAGCAATCACTGAGTCACCTCCTCACTTCCAAGGATGTCAAGTAGAAAGCCCCACAGGAAATGAACCTCAGTTGCCTGCTGTGGGCACTATATGCCTCCCAGCTGTGCCCTCTGCCCAAATACCTGTGAGGAGCCTTTGAGGGTTTTGGGGAGACCAAACCAGCAGACCCTTGGCTTCTGTGAGGTTGACATCTCAGGACAGGCATTGTAGACATGAATTTTGCACAGGTGTGTCACCTGTTGGGGTGAGGGCTCCTTGGGAGGAGGGCTGCAGCACAGCGGCCGTCCTGGCCAGGCGGTGGGGACCGGGAGCAGCATTGACAGACCACGTTCTCCCACAGGGACGGGGACACTGGGCGGCTCTTGCACAGGGGCGCTCCCAGCAGCGGGCAGGCGGCTGTGGGCAAGGGATGAGTTGGCAGAGCATCAGCATCGGCTCTCAGCTGTGTGTGGGAGGTGGTGGAGGCAAGGTGCTGCCCCGGCCACCAGGCCCCAGTCCACACCTGTTGCTAATCTACTCTTAGTGCCTTCATTAAATATGAATTCACAGTCTAGAGCACCAAACATTTGAAGAAATCTGTATCGTGAAGGAGAGCAAAACACTTAGGAAGACAGGAGCCAGAGATGCATTGCCCCACGGTGACCTGCGCCATCTAGGAGGAATCAGCCCGTGCGGCCAGATGCGAGACTCAGAACTCGAGCACTGGGGAGGAGCTGAACGGTGTTCTTGGAAAAGGGTTAGCAGCCCAGAGGGTTTTCCCAGGCGCTTCATCATTCAGTGTCACGACAATAAAAATACTGAAAGCTTGTATTCTATTCCAGTAGGGCGAACTGGTCAAGTGGGAAAATAAGAGTAGGTTCAGCCTTAGCATGTATGAATTCATATCGCAAAGTCGCAATTATCAAAACAGTAATGTCCTGGGTGGTGATGATGCATCAACAACAGAACCAAAGAGAAAACTAAAAATTGACCCAGATGCCTACAGACACTTAATGTAGGAAGAAGATGTTGTCTCGAATCAGTAGGGGGAAAGATTGGCTTTTTGATGAGTCGCACAGTTGCACCGGGCAACATGTGCTGTCTCGGAGAAAGGAAGTTGTAGCCATACCTCTCATTGAATACCAGCATAAACTCCAAATGTGTAAAAGGTTTAAATGTAAAAAAATAAAGCCATAAAAGTACTAGAAGAAAGCCTGGGTAGATTCTGTTATAACTGTGCAACAGGGGCAGCCTGTCTAAACAAGTCTCAAAGACTGGAAACCATAAAAGAATATATGAGTACATTTAACCACCCGTGAGAAACGAGTAAACTTGCACTGAGGCAAAATACACACCATGAGCGAAGTCAGAGATGACTGACAGGGGTGCCCAGACCACACGGGGTGGGGGGGGGGGACAGTCTTTTCAATGAATGGTGCAGGGGAAACTGGATATCCGCATGCAGGAAATGAACCTCGACTCTTACCTGACATTGTATATGGAAGTTAACCTAAGTAAGTCAACAGACACAAACATAAGACTTAAAATTGCAACACTCCTGAAAGAAAGAGGAAAAGCTTCATGACATTGAGTTTCACAATGATCGCTTGGATATGACACCAATGTAACAGGCAACAGAAACAAAAATAGGTAATTTGGCATCAAAATGAAAACTTGATGATCCAAAGACGCTATTGACTGAATAAAAAAAGCCAATCCAGGGAATGGAACAAAATATTTGCATATCACATTTGATAAGAGATTAATATCCACAATATGTAGAACTTCTAAAAACAACAAAAATAACCTGAATCAAAAATGGGGAAAGGACTTGAATAGACATTTCTCTAAATAAGATGCCCAAGTGCATGAAAAGGTGCCTACCATCATTAGTCATAGGATAATGTAAGTCAAAACCATAGTAAGATACCACTTCACACCTGCTAGGATGGCCAGAATAAAAGAAAAACAAAGTGGTGGTGGCCCTGGTGCTCCAGCAGCTGACCCTTCAGGGCTTGGGCAGTCTGGACTGGACACCCTGGGGCAGCTGGGGCCAGTAGCTCCCACTGAAAACAGAGATGAATACGACCTGCCTTCCTGCCCCCAACACAGAGGCAAGGTGTCATCAATGTGCAGAGACCAGCACGTGGGACATAGGACACCCCTGCATGGCACAGCAAGTCCCCAGAAAGCCGTGCACTGAAAGGAAACCCCTATTTGGTGTCAGGGAAAGAAATGGTTCCACAAAAATGTGCAAGGCAGGAGGATATGGGTGTCGGCTCGGGTGTGGGGAGCAGGGCCAGCACCCCCTGCTGGTGGGAGGGTCCGCGGCCTGCCGGCAGGTGGTGCCCTGAGGTGAGATCCCCACAGCCAGGGAAAGCAATCACTGAGTCACCTCCTCACCTCCAAGGATGTCAAGTAGAAGGCAAAGGGAAGCGATTTACTGCCACTTGTATTTTCTGCCCTGCGGCACGGATGGCCTGCAGGTGACGGCACTTTATGTTGTGTATGGCTGGGTGGAGGCAGGAGCTGGGAACAATGAGTCCTTGTTGATCATGTTCATTCCTGGGGGAAACAGTGTGAAGCAAATGCGGCATTGTTTGTTTTGGATAGTGAGTTCCTGAATTTCAAATATATTTTTAAAGGAAAATTTTATCCATGTTGTCACTGTGCTCAGTTTGAAGCTCAGTGCTCAGTGCATGCCTAAGGCCATGCTGGGTGGGACAGATCCCCACCGGCAGGCTCTGAGGGGCAGGCCCGTGGGCCTGTAGGTGGCTGCAGGGGCCCTCCTGGGGGGTGGGCACAGCCTTTCTCCA